TGCTCCATGCACCCTCCCTCCTCACTATGCTGATTCTGACCCACAGTCCCTCCCCTCTGTCCAATTTAGGGTCTGTGGCCCAGGTAGGGCCAACTCAGCCACCCTCAGCATCCGAAGGTTCAATGCCACAGCTGTCTGCACCAAGGACAGCAGCAACACTGGCAACGTTGGCAGCTGGGGCCAACATGACACATTCTTTACATGTACACGCTGTGAGCATTTTCTGTCACTCTGCGCTTTGTAAGTCATATTCTTAAAGGGGACTTTTGCTATGCCAGATAGTTTCAATATTTATGTAGACCAATGCTTTCTTCTCAAGATCAGTATTTTTGTGTCCTAAAACTATACATATATGCATATGTGTATATATACACACACATAAACTATATACATAACTGTATACATGTGTATGTGCATGTATATACAACTGTGCATATATATACATACACATGTATATAGTTGTATATATACACATACATATATGTTCATATAAAAAACATTAGAATTATATCTCAAAGTTCTGTTAAAAACATGAATGACTTGATATTCTAGTGCCAAGTAAGGGATGGCTTTATTTAAAACATAGTTTCCAGTACATTCCAGTAGAGTTGGGAGAGTCGCTCCTTTAAATGGAAGCCTCTGGAACCTGGAGAAAGCAATGGTGAGTTGGCAACCTTCCTGCAGAGCTACCAGAGGCATGGATGATGCCCCAGCAGTGGATGATGCCCCAGGCATGGATGATACCCCATCAGTGAATGATGCCCCAGGCGTGGATGATGTCCTACCAGTGGATGATGCCCCAGCAGTGGATGATGCCCCAGGTGTGGATGATGCCCCAGCAGTGGATGATGCCCCAGCAGTGGATGATGCCCATCTGTGAATGATGTCCCTGATGCCCCAGCCATGGATGATGATTCAGCTGTGGATGATGCCCCAGCCATGGATGAAAGCCAGCCAACAGTTGTTTTCAAGAAAAGTCTAGTACACAAGTCATTAGTGAGATTTATCAAGAAAAAAGGGAAATCACAAAATTAATATCAGAAATTAATAGGAAGACATAACCACAGAGAGAGCAGAGATTACAAAACAATGAGTGGACATTATGAATACATAACTTGTTTTAAAGCAACGTTTTGTTTCACTTTGGCTGGTGTCCATATGCTGCAGTAGCCGGCCAATAGTGGGAGTCTCCTCATGGAGGAGGCTTGGGTTGAGGCTGAGGGCCTTTAACCCGCATGCACAAGAGAGTTGCCATGAGGGGATGGAAACCAGGCTACAAACCAAGTGCTGCACAGAGTTCCTACCTGTCCCTCTCCCTCACCATTTTCAGCTGGCCAGGTTTGAGCATTTTAGGGCTTGGGAAGATATTACTACATCTACTAAAAATCATCACGGATCCTTATGTGCTTTGGCCAGCTGCTGAGCAAATTAACTTCACACCTGAAGTGGGCCCACTGGCCTGTGCGGTCCCCCACTCCTCTTAGAATTTGTGAGCTTGGGGCCTGCTGGAGGGTGGACGGTGGGAGGAGGGGGAAGATCAGGAAAATAACTGATATTAAGCTGAATATGTGGATGATGAAATAACCTGTACAACAAACGCTCATGACACACGTTTATGCATGTACCAAACCTGCTCATCCCGCACAGGTTCCCCTGAACTTAAAAATTAAACAAAAAAGGACCTGTGAGCCAACCCAAACATCTTTGTGCTTTTCACACTGATGACTACGCTGATCTGTGGGGAGATGTACCTGTAACTGCCCTGAGTTGTGTGACCATGGAGGCCACTTTATAACGATGGGCAGTGTCTGGGAATTCCTTAGGGCTTAAACACGAATGCTGGACTCCCTGCACGGTGGCGAACACCCCATGACTGAGAGCATGCCAGTAGTTGCCAGTGTCAGCACTGGCCCAGACTCCTGGGTTTGTGTTTTCTCTTTTTCATTCAGGAACTCAGGAGCTGGGGCCACCCCCTGGCCCTTCAGGTTCTCCACCTGAGCTGTGAGGATAATAAACCAGACCCAGGGATGGCTCTGGTGAGGGTGGAGGAGTCACTGTACAGACAGAGTAGAGTGGGGCTGGATTTTATTCTTTAAAAGTAGACACTGGAGAATGGGCTGTGTAAATGGGAAAATCTCTCCTGAGAAAACACACAGCCTCACCTGCACAGAAGCACACACGTTCACATCACATGATGCAGCCTCACACAAGACACCACCAAACCCCGAGCACCCAACTCAGTACCAGCCAAAAGGGAGCACAGATGCTGCCTCAAAATTTGGCCATGATTTTTCCCCAGGGAACTCAGGTTTCTAAAAAACACTTTCACTATGCTTATTCCTATCACAATCCCAGAATCAGCGTGGCACTGCACATTGAAACCAGCTTTTTTCTTGACAATAATTCCAGAATACTTACCAGAGTCACACTTCAGATAAAACACCGGCACTTGCAACACAGAAACAAAGCTTTATGAGGGGCACGTCGTGCTGTGGATTGTTTGCAAAAGGTTCTGTTTCTCTCAATGAATACTGAAATCCTGATCACAAACTTAGTCAGCTGCTACAGTAATCAAAACAGCACGGTACTGGTACCGAAACAGAGATGTAGACCAATGGAACAGAAAAGAGGTTCATTGGACGGGAGAGAATGGGAGGCCACAGAAGCCTGGGATAGATTTTATGTCCCCACAACACAGCAGTGAGCACACTTCATGGCGTGCTGATGCTTACTGAATGGTACAACTGAGGACTGGGTGATTCTGTTTGTATCTGTTTTGATTCCAAGAGGCTCAACAACATGCTCTATGGAAGCATGATCCTTCAAACGCACTCATCTATCCTTTCAGTAATTTTTCACTCCCTCAGCCAAGAGCTTCTCCATCTGGGTTTCTGCAACACCAATCTCAAACCCATAAAGCATGGGTCACAGCAACCCCGCTAAGCTCACACGCCCAGCTGTGGAAGCAAACTTCACTTTATGGCAAGTCTACTTTGCCACTACAGGCAGTGCAGCATGTTAGTTTATAGATTAGCCTTTGGTGTTAGAGAGGTCCAGCTGTGGGTGTGTCCCGTGAATAATTTACTTAACTGAGATTCACATTCCTCATCTGTATAATGAATAGAACCAAACTATGCCTCAAAGTGATTGTGATGCTTCAAAGAGGCAACATAGAAAAGTGACCACATAGTATCCAAGACTCAAATGTGTATCACTTATCCTTTACATTTTAATAACTTAAGCAGCTGTTATCAAGTACAGTCATGTGGCATAGTGACATTTTGATCAATGATTACTTACATGGCTGGGGTCAGATGGGCGTACACAAACCTACTGGCCTGCATCATTAGATTAAAAGAAAATTTTTTGTTAAAAATTTTAAGTAAGATGCTATACAATTGAAAGACTAACCACAGTGATAGAAGTTTCAGGGAGAGATAAAACTAAGTGCACAAGGATTTGGAGAAATGTCTCCTCACATATGCTGCCACAGGAGCATGAATTAGGGACACCATTTTGAATAATATTTGGCACTATTCATGGCAATAAAAGATATGTTCCCTTCTAACAATCTACTTCACAGAAATGAGTGCCAGTATTATTCCAAAGCCGGTTACACTTACGAAGGTGAATGAATTTCAAATCATAATGTGAGTGAAAAAGCCAGACACCGAGAATCACATATTGACTTATTCTATGTATGACAGTCCAAACCTGGAGAGGTCTAAACAGGTCATTAGCAGTCAGAGCAGGTCCCTTAAGGAAGAAGATGAATAAAGGAGGAGGGAAATTTCAGGGAGGAACCAGGGATGTCTGCACTTGTGCCATCTCACCCTCTCAGATGTCGGGGTCCCAAAAGAGGGTGCTGGCAATATTTCGGTGGTTCAAAGGTCTCATGAAGAAAAGCAAATGACAGACAGCAGCAAACTCAGTTCTTTAATGAAGTGCCCCCCAGACTGGATCAAGGGTGCGCACTTAGTTTTACATCTTATTATGTAAAATGAGGATCCTCCAGAGATAAAAATGTCATCCATAGCACAGCATGGACAGAATTATATGCTATCAGCACATTTTATCCTATGGAATTTCCTGCACACCTTTTAGCAATCTGTGAATAATAGGTCCAGAACTTAACTTATAAATATCAGAGATATTAGAGAACAACGAAAGCCTAATTTTTGAAGACAGGAAATAGTGTAATGCCATCTTCTGTGGGAAGGAACTCTTAGTTTCCCCAAAAATTACAGAACTTGAGAGAAAGAAGCCTCATCTCAGAATCTGCGGTAGGGGTGGGAAGTGGAGGCTACAAATGTGCTCAAGTCAGACTCCTTCTCTGCCTTGCCAGGAGACTGGAGACCTACTAGCAAGCCCAGAGTGAACATTCACTCTGCCATTCACCCCTGGGAGATCCCTTTAAACCCACAGAGAGGACAGAAATATAAACGTGCTATAAACAAGTCTTAAAAGTTTAGAGGGTGATTATCAATTTCCCCTTAGCACACAGCAGAGTTTTTTTCTAAGTTCAAGTAAATGTCTGTGAGAAAAATGCTCCCACAGATTCCTTCCTTTCCTTACAGATGACACTCAATGCCCAGCCCTACATCCCTTGTACATAATCCCAAGGAGTGCTGATTAATCCAAGCCAAAGGTTTTGATGTTTCACTGGGCAGAAAAGAGCAGGCGTACTGCAGAGATTATCTCTAATGAACACCAGCACCCTCTCAGCCCAGAGACACAGTTCCTACCTTTATGATGACAAACTTTGAAAAGAGCAAACCAAACCTCACACACATTTTCATTTTCTTTCTGATTTCATACCCCCTGCATCAGCCCCTCAAACAGCAGGGATAACCTGAAGGCAAAGACTCTTAGGAACTCTTTCCCATTAGGTCCTACCTGGAAAGTAGTTTCCTACCTAGGGGTATGTCTTTGATGACTTTGAAGATGCCACAGAAGCCAGTCTTTAGAAAAAATAACATCAGGACCAATCATTAGAAAGAGTGACTCACCCACTCCTCTTCCAGCAGCTAAAGCCATGTGGCCTCACACATCATTCCCTGGTCTTTGTTGAGTTGATAAACCTTCCTACAGCCTCTCTGGCTGGAGTTCTGTATTGGCCAAATCACTTCCTCTCAGGAGACCCCCAATCCTCCTTCCCAGCAGGATCCCAGAATCAGGTTTCTAAACACTCAAGTGGCAAGTTGGTCCCTCATGATGTGAGTTGCTTTATGGTACTTACTTTTCATCCTTTGCTGGATTGTGCTCTGCAATTATACAAAAGAAAACATGAGGCTGAGACTCTGTGGTGCACCTCACATAGATCTGTTATTCCCTTGGCAAGGGTAGAAAACAAGAAGTGGCACAGCGGCTGAGCCATTGGTCAACATCCTCAAAACCATGAGGATGCTTATGGAAAAATAAGGTCTGTATTCACAGAATTCACCTTTAAAAAGTTGATTTAATGGGCAAATACACAATGCTTAATCCAAGGAGGAAAACGTGTTGAGGAAAGTGCCTCTGCATTACAGCTGATAATGGATGCTGTCATTTGAAAACCTCCCAGTGTATTGTGTGTTAGTTGGGAAGATAGTCCCACTGAATTTCACCCCCACAAAGAGAATTGCATATGCTGTACAAAATGTACACTTTCAGATTTTCATATCCAGATTAATTGAGAAGAAATCACAAAAGCAAAATTTCTTTAGAAGACAAAGAAAAGGAGTCTTACATAGAGGTTTTCCTCCTCCAGATCTTCTTCCTCTGTCCAGGGTCTGAGTCCGACCATGCTGGCCTGGTCATCTGAAGATACTGGAAGTACACAGAGGAAAGCTCAGTACCCTGGTGGTTGGTGGCTGTGAGTTACTCAGGGAGCTTTGCTGGATGTGGGGTATGGAGGTGGGTGATTATCAAGCACGGACTGAGTTGCTGCTGGGCTGTCCCCCTGGGTGGAAGAGGAGGGCTGGTGAGGGAGGGCAGCGGGAAAGAGACGAGACATGGAGGTCTCCGCCTCATACTAGAGGCATCATGCAGCAACACAGAAGAGTCAACCAAAAAGGGAAACTCAAATGCACACTAAGGTTCAATGGAAGAGTGCCTTCCTACCTCTCACACGTTTTGAAGCTCTTTTAAACAAACAGCATATTCAAGACTACGTCAGTACTCTAGGACCCAATCATGCTGGTGCTACATTTAGCATCAGTTTTAAAGATGCATAATAAAAACCTGGGTCTACCCAGCCCCTTATCTGAACCCACTTTCTTCTATTGATTCCAGGTTTTTAAACTCAACCAATTGACGATTAAAAAATCTTGAAATCTTCCTTATGACCTGGAGCCCCAACCTTCTCCCACTTTCTGTTGTCCCATCTTTCTCAACGGAAGAAATTGACATCTTGCATGCATTAATTGATGTCTTATGTCTCCCTAAAACATGTAAAAACCAAACTGTAGCCCGATCACCTTGGATATGTGTACTCAAGACCTCCTGGGGCTGTGTCACTAGCATGTCCTTAACCTTGGCAAATTAAACTTCTAAGTTGATTGAGACTGGTTTTAGATAATCTTTTTGTTTGCAATGTGTAATCATAGTGAGGTTTATTTTTTAGAAGAGGACACTAGGGATTTATTGTGTCAAACAGAAATAACAATATATGTTTATGTGATTTATGTCCCAAGAACATTTTTCCATTTATGGATTCACATGAAGGGAAATGGCTGTCACATAAATGGCTGTCGCTACAGTTCTGTTTTTTAGAATTTTCAATCCTTGAATAAAAGCTAAGTTGATCAGACAGATGGATTCAATTCTAGGCAAACCAGTCTATTTTAGTTACGTACTGAACTTTTGTTATAGTCAATGATGGAAGAATTGGAAACATTGAAATTATATTCTATAAAACAACTGGTGTTAATCACACGAATAGTTCCTTCTTCAGTCCACCTTTCCTTTGTCATGGAGGTGCAGTAATTGCCTATGGAGGATACCTGTGCTTCTTTTCTGTCTTGTCATTGTGTCTAATGAATGTAGTTTGCAGAATTTGATCATTTCTAGGTCTTGTGGTGATAAGAGTTTTCAGCTATCTCAAAAATATCTCATTCATCTTATTTGTTTGGGGCCAACTGCTGAGGAATGTCTCCAGCACTGAAAGGAGTTTCTCAATATTTCTAAGTACCGCTTCCTAATATTCAGAACTTGCACTTGACCCTGTTGTCAGAGGTATCTAAGGCAGCTCCGTAGTATTCACACCAATGGCCATGCCGTATCCTGCAGTTACATTCACTGTTGTCTGCCCTAAGCCACGTGACTGCTGCAGCCATCTTGGAATCATAGGCAGTGTTTGGGATCTCTGTAGACTCATATGTGAGGGAACCAACTTACAGTTACCCACGATGGTAGGGTTGAGAGCCGTTCTCCTCAGGGTAATAACTGCAGTTCAACAATTCATTATCAATTTTAGAGCTATAACCCTAGGTTCATATCTTGCCTCCTTCCTTTAGGGGCTTAAAAGCATGGGCACATTCATTAGCCCTTCGGTTTCTCCATCCAAGGAGTGTGTGGATAGTAAACAATCACTGTTTAGGTGAGCTCTGTAGCGAGGAGTGAATGGGTTTATTAAAATAAACTGTGTATTGTAGATCTTCAGAATGGTAAATTAAAAAAGAACTGACTTGCTTGATATCTCAAAGCTTAACACATTCCAGACCTGCATGCATACCCAACAGATAAGGTCCCAAGTCAGGGGTGATGCCATAATGCACAACTGTTCTGTCCAAAAATAGTCATTTCAACTTAACTCTAACCTTGAGACAACAGAATGAAATATGAGTATCAAAAATGCTTTTGGTGACATCCGATTCCACACAGTAGCTACATCTGAAAAAAAGAAAATTTAAGTGCATGCTGTCTACACAATGAGTCAGTGACCTGATGAAAAATCAACGGCAGAGTCAGTCACCCAGGGTGGAGTACAGTGGCTCTGCCATTGATTTTTCATCAGGTCACTGACTCATTTTGTAGACAGCATGCACTTAAATTTTCTTTTTTTCAGATGTAGCTACTGTGTGGAATCGGATGTCACCAAAAGCATTTTTGATACTCATATTTCATTCTTTTGTCTCAAGGTTAGAGTTAAGTTGAAATGACTATTTGCCCATCCGTGCTGAGCAGAGGCTTCTCCAGCTGTGAATCTGTGCAGTGTGGCATCGCTGGGACACTGTGTCGCTAATAGGGTTTGGATGTTTGTCTCCTCCAAATCTCATATTGAAATGTGAGATGAAGCCTGGTGAGAGATGTTTGGGTCACCAGGGTGAATGAATGGCTTGGTGCCTTCCCCATGGTAATGAGTGAATTCTCACTCCATTAGTTCATGCAAGAACTGGTTGTTTAAAAAAGCATGGCATCCTCATCATGTGACATACCTGCTCCCCCTTCACCTTCTACCTTCATTGTAAACTTTCCTAAGGCCCTCACTAGAAGCAGATGCCAGCATTAGGCTTCTTATAAAGCCCACAGAACTGTGAACCAAAATAAACCTCTTTTCTTTAAAAAAAAAAAAAAAAAAAAAAAAAGAAAAATCAACGGAGACCTCGTCAAATGGAATGAACACCAATTTACTTGGGGAGGAGAATTATCTACCTTATTGGGAGGTTCCAAGTATGTGATATCATATCCTGTATGATTTCTTTCTCTTAAATGTAAAGTGGCTCAAACTGAGGCTGTTGCCAAGTTATGGAGATGACCGTGGCTTAGCCTTGGCAAAGTGCTCTGGATAGTGTCACAAGGGACCTGATTTGTGCCTTCCTTCCTTCTGAGGAGGGTAACAGGTTGGGTGAAAGCATATTATTCATATCTCTGTACATAGGGAATTTTGAATAATCCACAAAAGTAAGTTTAAAACTGTGTTTTGGTAGGTAAACTGGCCTAGACACAGATATTATCAGTATGTATTTCGGAACTTGTGATATGAGTAGAAGTAACACGCTCTCAAATACTGTGAAATAAATATACATTTAGGCTGATGAAAGGAGGGAAGCCATGGGAATAGCAATATTAGGTTTCTTTCTTGTGCGTTTTCCCTCACATTTCCACATTCCAGATTCACTTCAGATTCTGAAGTCTAGAGTTTAAAAGATAACTGATGGTGGAAAGAAAGAAGCACAAGAGACATCCCTATATGCTTTCAGTCAACAAGAAGAGGGAAGTCAGGTATGCAGAATCTAATCAGAAATACTGCATTTTACTCTATGGAAAAATAATAAACATACAATAGCATGAACAAAGAATTAAAACTATAAATGATGGAATAAGTAGGCAAAATATTTCCTGAACAACCTTACTGCACCAATTGGAAGGACACCATTCAGTAGGTGAATATGAATAGACTTTCACAGTCACAATATGCCTGAGGAGAGGTATGAAGCTGAGAACTTCTTTCACATTCTGCATATGGAAAATCGGAGACAGTCTACAAGAATGCTATTCATGCTAATAAATTCATCAAAATTGCAGAATACAAGATTAACACTCAAACGGCAGTTGTGTTAATATGCACTCAATATCAACAATCCAATAGCAAAATTACAAATGTAATTCCATGGATCATAACCTCTGAAATCATTAGATACTTAGAATCTAATCAATGAGATGAAATACTCATAACCTGGTAAGAACAGAATGTGACTGAAAGGAAGTAGAGAAGGTACAAATAGATGAAAAGGTGTCCCATATTCACAGACAGGAAGGCAAAAGCTGACTAATACACAATACTACAAAATGATCCAAAGATGCACAACAACTACTATCAAACTGGTAACATCCATCTGTGCAGAAATAGAAAAGATAACCCAACATTTTATTGAATTCTTATATGTCTCAAACAATCATAATAATGTTGAAAAAGAATAACATTGGAAGATACACATTCATGAGATTCAAATCTGAGAGGAAAAGACAGAAATTCAGACAGCAGTGTCCTAGCATGGGGGCACCCGTAAGTATTGGAGATATAGAATACAGATCCCAAAATTCAATGCATGCATACATAGCCAACTGATCTTCAACAAAGGTGCCAAGAATGCACAATGGGAAAAGGAAGACCTCTTTAACAAATGATGGTAAAACTCCATATTCTCATTTAAATAATAAATTGAGCAGTGTGCTCAAGGGTGTGCTTCTTCCTCCATTTACAAGACACTGGACCTTTGCAATGACCCCAGAGCAAATCTTCATTCTGTCCCCCATGCCCAGAGAGAGCCCTTGATATCAGGAGTAAACAGCAAGGACAGAGAAATGAATGTGCCGCCATGAAATCTAACAGTTCAGAAGGCGAGGATCAGTTTCTCCCAAGCATCTGGGCACACTGTGGAAGACTTGTTGTCTCCAGGATTAAGTAACTGCCATGACAGAACTGTGTCCCAAACCAAAGGCCTTAACATTTTGCAGTGGCAGAGGCAGCAGAAAAGAGGTATTCTCAGAAAGACCATCTTCAAATAATAAAGCAAGAACAGGGGACACACAAAAAAGAAGAAAAAAAAGAAGAGGTGATCACAGACAGGGTACTCACACTTCTCACCACTATGACATTAAACTCTGACAAGAACAAACTTCATCCACGTTTTCTTTTTCTTCTCTTTCTACATACTCGCTCACCCTCCCAAACAGTAGGCAGAAGCTGAAGGCTCCTGGGAACCTGCTTTATTAGATTCCACCTGTAATCTTGTTGCCTACCTGGAAAGGTGTCTTCGCTGTTGAGATTTTCTGGAATCCACTCTTTAGAACCACCAACAGCAGAGTAAGTCAGAGAGAGGTACACTCACTTCTACTCCAGCTGAAGCCACGTCGGCTCACATAACATCCCCTGGCTGGTCCTCTGGGTTCACATGCATTCATACAGTCCCTCTGATCATAGTTATACACTTGCAAAATTATTTGCTCTCACTAGACCCCCAATACTTTAACCAGAACCCAGAATCAGGTTTCTATATATTAAAACCAGCAAGTTTGTTCCACAGCAAGTGAGCTACTTCAGGGTACATACCGGAAACAGTCAGTGATGAACTCTGTAATTAGACAAAACAAGATGCTATGAGAATCAGATGAATTCTTCTGCACCCCCGCCCCCACCCCCACAGATCTATCAGTCTCTTGATGACTTCAGGAAACTAGTTGAAGACAATGGTTGAGTCTTACAAAGGCCAACAATCCAACATGCTAGAATAGAGGACACCTGTGGAAAAGACAAGACCTTTTCCCACAGAATTTATCTAGAAGTTGATTTACATTGGCAAATACACAATGCCTAAACGAAAGAAGAAAACTGGTGTTGAGAAAAATTCCTCGGAGTTACAGTTGATAATGAATGCTGTCATCTAAAAACATTCTAAAATATCACGTATCCAATGGGAAGACACTCCCATTGAATTCCAACCCCAAAAAGAGAATTGGACATGTCAGACATCAGACATAATGCCTTCTCAGATTAACACAATTAACAGAAGGAAAGAAATCAGAAAAGAAACAATTCTTTTTTCATTTCGTTTTCTTTTGAAGTTTAGGTTCCAGGATGCATGTGCAGGACTGTGCAGGTTTATTACACAGGTAAACATGTGCTATGGTCCGTTGTTGCATCTATCAACCCATCACCTAGGTTTAAGCCCCACATCCATTAGCTATTTATCCTGATGCTCTCCCTCCCCAATTCCCACCTGACAGGGCATTCTTTATAAGACAGAAAAAGGGGTTCTTACCTCACCATCATCCTCAGAAGTGGCTAGTAGAAGCTGGTAGTGAAAGGAGGAGGAGCTCCGACTACTCTCACAGAAGTGTTTGTGCCCTTGGGGCTTGCTCTGTTGCTTTGCTTTTTCTTTCTTTGCCTTTTTTTATTTTATTTTTATTTTGTATGTTGCTTTGTTTTTTTGTTTTTTTTAATTTTGTTTTTTTTTTTTTTTTTTTTTCTTTTTTCATTTCGGATTGGGGTTACATGTGAAGAACATGCAAGATTGTTGCATAGATACACACGTGGCAGTGTGATGTGCTGTCTTCCTTCCCATCACCTACATCTGGCATTTCTCCCCATGCTATTTTTCCCCAACTCCCCACCCCCTGCTGTCCCTCCCCTATTTCCCCACAACAGACCCCAGTGTGTAGTGCTCCCCTCCCTGTGTCCACGTGTTCTCACTGTTCTTTTTTGTTTTTTCTGATTTTGTGCATTGCTTTGTTTTTAAGTTCCCTTATAGGTCACCTATGTGGGATTGCCTAGGCTCCAGGGCTGGCCTCAGTTGTGCCTGGTGCAGGGAGGCAGTGGCGTCATGTTGTGGGACTCAGTCTGTGGCAGCTACACCACCAGCATCCACGACGGCAGAGCCTGACGTTTTACATGCCGGAGTGGTGGAGGTCCAGCACGTGCAGCCCAAGTCAAAGCGGCACAAAGGTAAAGAAGCCACGGGTGCCATTTTCTTTCTGGCCACCACCTCCCCCACCTCCTTCCCATCCCCTCACCCCAGAGACATCCTCAGCTCTCAGCTCCCTCCTGCCTATAGCCAGCTTTCCCAGGGCTGGGCATGGGGGACAAAGGCTAGTCCTGCCTCTTGTCTTTGTTGTTGAGCCTTCTTGCTTGAGGCATTTTGGGTCTAGTCTTTCCCTTTCCCCAGTGAAAATTCAGATACTCCAGTTTTGGAGTCTCCATCCCATTCTTTAGCCTTACCTATCCAGCTACTATGGTACCTCAGTGAAGGAGCCGGTTAAAGGCCCATTCATTTCTTTTCTCCTATTTGATAAGGAAGCTAATAATTGGGGAAATTCAGACTCAAATATTTGGAAAGTTCTTAAATTTAAAATAGAGCTATGGAGGAGATTATATGGTGTTCTTAAGAGATGGTTTGAAGTCACCTTGACAGAAGCAGCTTTATTTCTTCCAATTGTAATTTGAAAACCAAAGAAAAAATTGAGGGACATGCTTAATTAAAATGACGGCAAAAGATATGACATGTTACTGCCAGAGCTGTAGAAAAGTTGTTTTTGCTGTGGTTTTACCCAAAGTTTAGCCCTGGAGCTCTGATTACTTAAAAATTCCCACTTTGACGTGAATGTCTCTTCAGCACTACTCCAGTAACTTCATGGGCTTTACCTCCTTACCTTCTGAAAGACAGGTAGAGCTAGCTCATGGTTACAGGTTCCAAAAGAGATGAAATGACTTTCGACTTGAATTTGTAAGGTAAAGACTTGAGAGTTAGAAGGCCAGACTCTGCCTGTGGAAAAGAATTTGTTTTCATGGCCCCCTTCCTACAGGATGGGAAAGGGGAGGAGAGAGGAAGCATTTCATTTTTTTGCTATGGTCAAATTGAAGACAAAAACTAACACTTATAAGACAGGAGAGGAGCATTTAGTTACAAAATCAGTCAAACATTTGTGTATCACTACATTTGTTGAGCAAATGAAAGCTCCCAGACTCAGAAAACCAGAGATGCTAATGGAACTGACATTAGTAACCAGGGTTTTCTACTGAGTTCAGCACCCAGGGTGACTTCCAATAACAACCACCCTTCCCTCCACAGACTTTTCTCATGATTGGAAAGCTCAGGCAGCCCAGGATGAATAATTCAGTCACATGGGGGAATGGTGACCATAGGTGGGCAGCAGCAGGGATGGGCATTGTGAGCCATTGGGTGGGGCTGTGGGGCAGGGCACTGTGAGCCATTGGGTGGGGCTCTGGGGCAGGGCATTGTGAGCCATTGGGTGGGGCTCTGGGGCAGGGCATTGTGAGCCATTGGGTGGGGCTCTGGGGCAGGGCACTGTGAGCCATTGGGTGGGGCTCTGGGGCAGGTCATTGTGAGCCATTGGGTGGGGCTGTGGGGCAGGGCATTGAGAGCCAGTAGCCTGACTTGGTTGTTTCCTGGTAACCAGGTGACATAGGCTTTTTGGGTGACAGGCATCAGCCAGGGCCAGCAGCCTTCAGTCTAAAATCCTTTAGGATTTTTGAAATAGATGAATCTAGCAACAGATAATTCTGGGTAACCAGTTCCTTGAACAAAGACTAAGTCCACTGAAATAGAAAACATTATATCATAAAGACATAGAAATATGATCAGCTCATTTCTTTCATTTTAATGGCAGAGATTTTATTAGTATGGAGAAAATGTCTTACAGGTCTTGTGTTTAAACTTCAGTTTGGCTCTTACCTTCTTTCACAGAATAATTAAGCCTCATGATGGGTGTGCCTTTGTAACAAGGAAGTGCTGTACTCCCTTTTCAGAGTATTGAAAAATTGTGAAAGAATAAATAATTATGAGACTTAATAGATTGTACCTTATACACAAAGCATGCAAGTACCTGTGGAAACTCCTTGCTTGGTGGTGTATGGCAAGCCTCTGTGTGATATTCTGTCTGATTTGGCAGATGAGGTAGTGAGAGAACAAAGTGAGCCTTTTCCTTATTCTTTAGGATGTAAAACATGTTTTCATGTACATCTTCTACATCTTACTGGAAGCTTCCAAATACAAATAAGGCCTGTGTATATTCTAGCTGTTGCTGATGCAGAAGGGAAGGCTTAGAGATCTGAAGGGACTGTGTGAGACAGCTGCTGAACAGGACTGAGGTTCTAAGTCATCAAAGTAGACATTGGAGGTCGTAGTGATGCCAAACTCAGTTCTTAAAGAACTTGACTCCAGAATGTCTTATATTTTAAGGTCTACCCATAACATAGACCTCTCTTAGAACTTTCATCTTGATTAGTTCCTTTTGCATTTTATTTTACACATTTACCTCTCCGTTTTTCCTCCTAAAGAGATGAGTCCTCACTGTGGGCACAGAGCCCAGGCTTCTGACTCCTGGCCTGGGCTCAAGCACTCCTGCTGCCTCAGCCTGTAGGAAAGCAGACAATACAGGCACGTGCCATCTCTCCTGGCTCTACCTTCTGTCCATACATTTATTGAAATAGATAAGGACAAAAGTAGGGGTAACAAAATGGCCTACATTTACCAGTCAAATCAAGTTTAATAAATGTGGAAGAGTTTCATCTGCTAACTGATTTGAAGCTGAGAATGCCCTGCTCAGGAGAAAGGAGAAGCTGGCAGGAGGGCAAGCAAGGCCCCGAGTAAGAAGTGTTAAGTCAGAGCAGTTGAAGAAAAAATAGTTTGTGAGCACAGAATTTACCATCTTATGTGTATGTGCATGACAGTAAGTTTCTATATGTCTCTTCAAACGTGTTTTTGTTGTATTCAGTAAAGGGATAACAGAAACCTCAATTTCAGTGTTCATTCTTTGGCCAGGCACAGTGGCTCATGCCTGTAATCTTAGCATTTTGGGAGGCTGAGGTGGGCGGATTACCTGAGGTCAGCAGTTTGGGACCAGCCTGGCTAACATGATGAAACCCCTTCTCTACTAAGGATACAAAAAATTAGCCAGGCACGGTGGCACATACCTGTAATCCCAGTTACCTGGGAGGCTGAGGCAGGAGAATCACGTGAATCCGGGAGTTGCAGGTTGCAGTGAGCCGAAATCCCGCCAGTACACTCCAGCCTGGCTGGGAAAATAAAATGAAAGAAACATGTTCAGAACACTCAATATAAAGTATAGACACATTCAAAGTTTGTTGTTAATATCTTTATTTCAGAAAATTGTGTATTACTTTTTTTGGAAAATGATAAATTCCTACTTAGATGTGAAACATTTTAGCCTTTCTATAATGACGAGTTGAATTCTTTTGGTAACTTAGACAAATATCACAGCAACCAGTGCTCCAACCATTCTGTGGCACACTAAGCAGTCATTTAAAGGCATCAGGCAGAGCAGGGCGCACTGCTGTAGAAAGACATCCTGGAGTGCTCTCTAGGTGGCAAGTCCTGTTTCAGGAACTTATGCCATAAATTATGCTCTGCTTCATTGTTCTCTTCTGAAATATTTCAAAAGAACATTGTGTCTTGAAGCCATTTCAAAGAGAAGCTCTAAGAACCCAGTTTAGATCTCAGACTCAAACATGTTTTGTCCTATCATGCCTTTATTTAGCAGTATATCTAATACGACTGGGAGTAATATAAGGAACAGATTAAGATAGTAGGAGCTCATTATTCAGTTTTATCACTACCCATCGACTTTTCATGCAGCCTTTTGTGTTCTTACCATAGGAATGCTGCTGGTTTGTTGGCTCTCTCAAGTGAGGGGTCAGGGAAGGGAAAGCATGGGCATATGATGTAGAGACCTCTGAGCAGCAGGTCTTTCAGCTTTCTAGTACCTATTTTGAACCCTCCTTTTAAAATAACTATCAGTATGTTTCATGTAAAAGATGTAGAAAATAAAGAAAAGTTATTTATTACACTCAGAATACCCATAGATCACTTGTGTTACAGTTTGAGCACTGTTTTTCTGGAAATTATTGCTATGCATTTGAATAAAATATTTATTTCACAAACTTTTTTGTAAAATAAAACTTTCTGATTATTTTATATGTGCTGCCTTATAACTTTTAAAGCAGTGAAATAATGGCGTAAGTTTCTCAAACAGTACTTGACACCAAGAGAGCACTCCAGGATGTCTTTGCCTGCCAGGGCACCCTGCTCTACCTGATGACTTTGAATAACTGCTTAGTGTACTACGGACTGGTTAAAGCACTATTTATTTACCTGCCCCTTGCGATTGGCTGTCTTTTTTCGTAAAGTCAGAAACAGTCCTGTCATGTTTGATTCAGAACACACATAAAGCACATTTTGATGACAGATGTGTAATATCTCATTATAAAATTCAAATATATTTTTTCTAGTGACATAATTAAATTGATGAAATGAGTCACTTTGTATTTAAGATATTTTAGTATTAAATATACTTGTGTCAAACTGCAGTTACCATTGACTTTTAGACATTAACATTCTTCATTTATATTTTTGTGGATCTTGATAGCTTGTGTCTTTAATGCTAAATAGCTACCAGTTTTAAAAACCTGATGCTGTCTTAGATGATAAAACAAAAGAAAACTTTAGCATCTGGGAGAATTGGGAGAAACTTAACTAGTTTGGGGTAAAATGAAATATATGTATCGAGCAGTTTCAAATGGCCTGGCAGTGTTGCAGATGCAGGGCCAACAGTGGAACACAACAGAGAGCCCCATTCTAAGTCTGACCCTTATATTCGATAGGGAAGTAAGGGCAGCCAGCACATGAATAGTCAAGAATGGCAGGTGGTGACGTGCTGGGAAGAAAGTAAAGCAGGGTGATGGATTAAAGAGGAGGGCAGTTTGATGGAGGGTTGGCGCTAAGAGCAGGATGTTCTCTTTAAGTGACATGTGAACAGTCTTAAAAGTGAAATGGGCTGGGTATAGTGGCTCCCACCTTTAATCCCAGCACTTTGGAAAGCCAGGATGAGGGGATTCCTTGAGGTTGGAAGTTTAAGACCAGCCTGGCCAACACAGAGACACCCCATCTTATTTAGTTTTAAAAATAAAAAAGTTAGGGGAACCCTGCGAGGATGATAGGAGAGGGCTTCCTCCAGAGAGGGATATCCGCTTTGGAATTCCTGAAATTGAAACAAAGTTTTGATTTGAAACTTTGAAACAAAGTTTTAGGCAAAGGAGGGAAAGCCACAAGGGCAGCTGCAGCAGAGTAAAAGGATGCTGGGATGAATAAGGTGGGTGAAGGCCTTGTACATGTAGTGAGCACTCACAGAAAAGATGGACTTCAGTTGAGATGGAAAACCACTGGAGGATTATAGCCCAGGATTACTGTTAATTCTCTAAGAAAAAGACTGAGCAGCAGCTCTGTGAATATGCTGTAATACAGGCAAGGGTGGAAGCAGGAAGAGCAGCTAGGAGACTGGTGGAGTAGTTCAGGTGAGAGCCGACAGTGAAGAGAAAAACAACAATGACGTGAAAGAGGTGGACTTGAGAAAAATCAAGTGACACTAAAAGTGGATAATAAAGTGGTAAATAGACAAGTCACAGAAAAAGAAATACAGGTGATTTTTAAACACATCTTCACTCATAAAAGAAAGGCAAATGACAGCTCTACTGCAGGGTCTCTACTATTGAGGAAAATCCCAAAACCATGACAAAACATTCCTTGGTGTGGCTGTAAGGAAAGTTGCATTCATGTATTGCTGGTAGAAATGCAAAGACTCAACTTCATGAAGGGGAATTTGGCACAATCTCACAACCGTGAAAATGCATTTGAACCAGACATCCTACTTTGAGGAATTTTATCCTGAAGTTATGCTCCATAAATATAAAACAAACTATTTGCAAAGTTCTTGTTGCATTATTTTCAATAGTTAAATAATGGAAATAACTGGCATGCCTAGTAAGGGACTAGTAAAATAAGCTGGTACTTGTACATAAAGGAGAAGTATGGAGCTGTGAAAAAGAGTAAGATGTCTTTTTATTGCTGTGGAGTGATTCCCAAGATAGGGTACTCAGAAAAGCCAAAAGGAGAATGTGCAGTAATACACATGAAAGAAAGCAGGAGAAATAATGTGTATTTCATTATTTAAAAGGTAAAAGACAACGTTGGGGAAGTCTTGACCTGTGACAGTTTTCTCCTAACTTCACTGGGTAGCCAAAGTGCATAGTTTCTCAAAATATTATTTTGCTATGGGTTCTGCAAAGGATGTTAAGTGTGCACTTTTCGCCTTTGAGTTAGAGAAAGCTTTGGTTTGTAATCTATTGTGCCTTGTGTAGTATACAGACTGCTCTTTGATCTTATTCTATCCTCTCAATATTTTGAGTTAGGTGTAATATGGGAATTATACTTGTGTTACATATGAGGAGGCTGGTTCTAAGAAGAAGACGGAGTAGATCAGGAATGTAAATTCTAGATATATGGCATATAAAACTAGAATCTATTAAAAGGTATGCATATGGCCTGCTTTAAATACTACCTTGTCTAAAAAACTTTCTAAAGCTTACTAAAGCAATCAAGCCTCAGGATGAAAACAGCAATATTAGATAATGAGAAACAAAATGGGGATACGTGTAACACAGTAATGCTTTTTATTTTTTTGAAGAGACAGGGTCTTGCTTTGTTACCCCAGCTGGAGAGCAGTGACGTGATCATAGCTCACTGCAGCCTCAATCTTCTAGGTTCAGATGATCTTCCCACAACAGGCTTCCATGTAGCTAGGGATACAAGGGCTCACCACCACATCCTATGACATTTAGAAGCTTTTTGTAGAATTGAGGTCTCACTGTGTTGCCCAGGTTGGTCTTAAACTTCTGACCTTAAGCTAATCCTCCTGCCTCAGCCTCTAAAAATGTCAGGATTATAGCCGTGGGCCAGCACACCTAGCCCAGAAATGTTCCTAAAAAGTCTGAAAAAAAAAAATAAGTTAAATTTTATTAAGAAATATATAAAAAGATAAACATATAGTATGGTATATGAAATGTCACAGTTCAGTCATGGTCACTACAACAGTGATTAAAATATCCAACAGTTGAGGCAAGTCTGAGAACTGAGAGGGACATACAGGATTGGTTTGGAAGCCAGAATTAGGATTGTCAGAGAGCTGGGAAAGCAGAAGCAAGGCAAGAATGTGCCCAGGAGTGGGGTATGCAGCAGCCCCGTGGTATGCCACATGCACAGGAGTGGGGCACGCAGTAGTTCCATGGTATGCCGTGTGTTATTTTTTACATCAGGCCAGCTCTAGCCCAGCAGATGAGAATCACCTGATGGGTAGAAAGAGTGGGCTTAGGTAAAATCTCTGATCATGCATAACTGAGAGACTTAAAATGTTTGCCTTATGGGTCATAAAACTAATAAAAGTGACAACATAGGGATAATAGAGTAGGTCAGTAAATGTGGTAAGCCACCTGCCACATCTCCAGAGCTTCAACCATCCCACAGAAATGTTGGGGCAGCAGGATTTGACAAAGCTTGTGAGAAGCGCTCTCAGTCCAGGGTTCAGGGCATGATCTAGAGGACTCAGGTGTTCCAGGATCTCTATCCCCGGAGAACCAACTACATTATTACCTCAGATCTATCACTCCTCACTGCGGTGACTCTCTGGGCAAGTCACTCAAAATGTCTGAGTCTTAATTCACTGAATTGGAAAATATGGGTTGTAGCCCCTTCCCTGCCTGTCCCTTGTGGCTGATGTGGGGATCAGGGAAATCACAGATCTGTGTCATGAGCTGGAAATCATGTGGCCATGGAAACTGTGACGTTACTTTCCATCCTTCTTTGCACAGGAGACATGCAGGCTTCCTCTCTGTATTCAACCACTACCATGTATCTGGATTATCCTTCTCGACATTGAATGATTGAACATTTTAGGGCATTTACAAACAAAAAAAAAAAAGAGTCTTTTTAAGTCTTTATCTGTGTTTCATTCTTTTAGGTGCTATAGACCTTAGTAGGTCTATAGCATAGATCTACTAACGTTTTTACATCTCAGAATAGGGAAGAGAGGCACAGATGGGTTCATATCCCTCTCCCAGGTATGTGCAGATTCTAAGTAGGATTTGAACCCAGCCTATTCTTGGTAACTTGGATCTTCTGCTTCTCTATATTGCTATATTGTCTCATCTGAATAAAGGTATCTGCCTGGACAAACAAATCTTCCTAGAACCCAGATCTAATTCAGGTAGCATTGAAAAGCAGTCGGTAAAAACTAGGATCAAAAGTTTAAACTAAGTTTTTACTAATTTCTCTGTGGTCTTCTGCCAGCAAGATGTCAAGAATTGTCTTTATTATAATACATTTCTACCTTGCAGGTTTGGCTGGCTGTGCAAGGAGCTGGGTACAAAAATGCAGGTGTAAAAAAATTTGCCCCACTGAAAATGAAGGTAGAGTGGAGCTTATATCATTAAGTTGATTGAAGCAAATAATTCCAGTTTACTCATCCAGTGTTTTAGAGAGACTCAGTAAATGCTATGTGATGTTCTTCATTTATTTCATTTGTGCCCATTTAAATGCATTAAATTAATGGGTGATGCAACTACACAAGTAAAGTTACATTGGCAACTTAGAGTTTGGTTCTTTTTATTTCTTTGTTTTTGTGAAAAGGTCTCATTTCACCCAGGAGTGCACTGGTGCAATCACAGCTCATTGCAATCTTGACCTCCCCGTGTTCAGATGATCCTTCTACCTCAGTCTCCCAAGCAGATGGCTATAATGCACATGCTTTATACCAAGCTCTTTTTTTAAATTTTATTTTTTTTTGTAGAGACAGGGTTTCAAAGTGTTGCCCAGGCTTGGTTCACTTTTGATAGTAAAGGACATCTCAAATGTTTAGACATTTGCTTTCAGTTTGGGCAATTATAAATACAGCAATTACAAACCTTCTTGTGTCTTGTTTGGAAACATAATTTTAAAATGTAAGGAAATACTAAAATTATGATTACTTGCTTGTACGGTAAGACTACGTTTCTTTGTAAGAATTTTGGTAGAATTTACCAGTGAAATCATTTGAAGGTAGTGTTTTTGTTCTTTTGAGAAGATACTAATTATTGATTCAATTTCTAATATAAATATAGGCCTATTCAGATGATTCATTTATCATGAGAAGATGTTTATCTAAACAGATCCAAAAAGTTAGCTCATTTCATATGTTTCCAAGTGTGAGCACAGATGTGTTCACAATATTTCTTTATTATTTTTTGATTCAACTCATCTTGAATTGATATTATTAGTACATCGTGACTTCCTTCTTTTCCTTTGAGGTTAGACAAGGTAGAGGTTTATCAGTGTTATTGATCTTTTCAAAGAACTGGTTTTTTTGTTGTTGATTTTCTCTGATGATTTCCTGTTTTTTGTTCCATTAATTTCTGCAGTCATTATTTATTTTTCCTCAATTCGAGATTATACTGCTCTTTTTCTTTCAATGCCCAAGGCGGAAGCTAGATTATAAATTTAGATTTGATTTTTCTCATTTTTGACACAGCATCATGAATGTTACTCACTAAATATTGAGTGCACACTTAATTAAAATAAATTGAAATGCACACTTAATAATTAAAATAATAAATATGTAAGCTTTTAAAATTTAAAAAATACAACAGGACAGATGAATGTAGCAGCAGGATATGTAGATCCACAGAAGTTAAATAATCCTGTAACGTTTCATAAAATGTTGGGATTTGCCTAGACCTTCACGTGGGCAGCAGGTGTGATGAGATGCTCTCACTGAGCCATACAGTGCTGTTCTGTATTAACCGGTTCTCAGACTATTTCACACTGGTGAGGTTGCCCTAGCTAGAAAGCCAAGGCTCTTTCATTTCTTTCTTCCCCTCTCCTTTGCCTTCCTTCAGCACCAAGGAGAGTGGCCGAGCGGCAGCTCAGTTCATGCTTGTCAACAGCCCCCCTCCATACACTGCAGCTTTTGTCCACATCCCCCAAGACTTCTTGTGGGATTCCTCAGCATCACCAGTGTACTTACTGTCTCTCTGTGTTCTCCTAGCTCCTCTTCAAGACCCAAAGGAGTTTACACGTGAAAACCTTAAGGAGATGTCACCAGACATAGTAAGATGCATTTCTTTGTCTTGAAGAGAAATGTCTTTTTTGGGGGCTTCTAGAATATCAAGTGAGTATCATTTCTGACTGCCATTGTGAATCAGGCCTCAGCTGTCATGGACTCTAGCTGCCAGTCACTGGAATGTATGACAAACTGAAGCCTGATTGATGATGTCAGTCAGAAGATGACATCACTGAAAAACTAGTAGTGAGCATATTTCTCAGTAGCAACATATTCTTCCTGAAAAATAATTTTGTATTTTTCAGCCAGTATAGATACTTGCTAAGTATTCCAAACCCACTGCATTTTCTGCAAGCATCCCCTGTTCTCCATTTGGAGCCTGTGACTTCATCACTGTTTGACATCTGGTTTTTTGTTTAGTTTAGTTTAGTTTTTGAGACACAGTCTCTATGCCACCAGGCTACAGTGCAGTGGCGTGATCTCAGATCACTGCAGCGTCCTCCTACTGCATTCAAGCAATTCTCCTGCCTCAGCCTCCCGAGTAGCTGGGACTGAAGGTTCTCGCCACCACCATGCCTGATTTCTTGTTTTTAGTAGAGACGGGGTTTCACCATGTTGGCCAGGATGGTCTCAATCTCTTGCCCTCATGATCTGCCCGCCTCAGCCTCCCAACGTGCTGGGATTACATGCGTGAACCACCGCGCCCAGTCTGCCGTCTGGTTTCCTAATGCCACCAAGTGAATACAAGACCTGTGCCAAAGGGACCCAGCATGATGTAACCCTCATGGTGTTTCTCTTCCTCTTATTGCAGGAGAAGCCTGCAGCCCAGTATTGCCACCGTACGTATTCTTTTCCTTTTAAACAGTTACCGAGATGTAGTTGACATGCAAACTAATTCACCCATTTAAATTATGTGATTCAGTGTTTTCACTCTATTTACGGGATTGTGCAACCATTGTTAGAATCTAATTTTAGAAGCTCTTGGTTCCCAATCAGAAAACCCCCTTAGTAGTGACTCCTCTGTTTTCCTTAACCCCCCACACCCCTGGTTCTAGGCAGCCCTAATCTCCTTCCTGTTTCTATAGTACACTGCCTTTCTTTCTGTATTAACGGGTTCTTCAAATGACGATTTCACATTGATGAGGTTGCCCTAGCTAGGAAGCCAAGGCTCTTTCATTTCTTTCTACCCCTCCCCTTTTTCTTCTTTCAGCACCAAGGAGAATGGTCCAGCAGCAGCTGGGTCCATGCTTGTCGTCGCCCAGCTCCATACACTCCATCCTGGTCCACATTTCCCAAAGCTCCTTGTGAGATTCCTCAGCAGCACCAATGCACTGTCACTCTGTGTTGTCTTAGGTGCTATTCAGGTCCCACAGGACCTCATATTGGAAGACATGGAAGACCACGAGCTACCCCGTGATGTGGTAAAATGCATTTCTTTGTCTCGAAGAGAAATTTTTATTTCTGGGGCCTCTGGAATATCAAGTGAATATCATTTTTGACTGACATTGTGAATCAGATCTCAGTTGTCATTGACTCTAGAGACCAGTCAGTGGAGATTCTGACCAACAGAGGCCTGATTGACGATGTCAGTTAAAAGGTGGCATAACTTACAGTCTGGTCGTGGGCCTATTTCTTAGTGGCAACATACTCTTTTTGAAAAACTATTTGGTATTTTCCAGCTGACATGGCCACTTGCTAAATTTCCAAACATCCCACTGTTTTGTTCAGATGCATCTTATATGCTTCATTTGGGGACCAGTGACATGGTTTTCTAATGTCACCATGTGAAATATCGGCACCAACAGCACCCCGCATGTTAAGATGCTTTGTTTTTCTCTTGTTGCAGGACACCGTGACAGCCCCAAATGACCTCCGTATGTATTCTTTTTCTCATAAAG